GGAGGAGTTTGAGGCAGGAGGACCCTGGAAGCACACGGAGGACACTGCTTACTGACTTGCTCATCTTGCTGTCTGCTTCCCCCACCACCACCACCCTCCCCACAGCCCGTCCTTTTAGTATTTCAGAGACAGGGTTTCTCTGTGTCGCCCTGGCTGTCCTGGGACTCATCCTGTAGACCAGGCTGGCCTCAAACTCGGAGATCCTCCTGCCTCTGCCTCTGGAGTTCTGGGATTAAAGGCTTGTGTGTTACCACCTCCCTGCTCAGTTTGATTTCTTATACAGCCTGGGGCCCACCTGTCCAAGTGTGGTACCACCTACAGCGAGAGAGGCCCTCCAACATCAATAAGCGATCCAGACAGGCCCACAAAACATTCTGATGGACGCACTACCTCAGAGCAACTCCCTGCTTCCCATGGGGACCCTATGTCAAGCTCACCAAAGCTGCCCATCACACTCATCTACTTACTTAAGGTTTCTACTAATGTGTTTGAAAAGTACCTTATTTATGACTTCTTTGTTTTATACTAGAAAAAAAAAACTTCATCAAATCATTACCGTGTTTAAATGGAGTTTTACAGAACCTAAATCTGAGTCTCCCCCTTAACTTGTATTTAGCCCAAAAGCAAATTTCTTTTACTCCTTTGGGGTGGGGGGCAACTGTTTGTTTGTTTGCATGTTCTCTATCTAGCAAGTGACTAATTCCAAGAACACAGAAGTTAACCCTGTGTGTTGAGATAAAACATTTCCTATGCCTCATACCATACCGTTGTCCTGTGTCAGTGAATCCTACCACTTCATGCTTATGTTTGCCTTCTTCCTGGCAGTATCCACACATTGATGCTAGTTCATTAATCAGATGAACAAATGTAGATAAATGAATACGTCTACCCGGGGCTATGGCGATAGTTTGCACTTGCCTTTCAAAGGTCAGGCCCAGGGTATAGATCCCCAGAAGCCAACTAAAGAGGGGCTTGATAGAAGATCAACCCAAAGCTCTCCTCAGTAAGATAGGAAACAGAGTAGGGGGAGCCCTGAATACATCTCAGTTGCAGTCCAGTTAGCCCATTGTCCAACAGAAAATATCAGGACCCCTGTGATGGGCCATTCTGTAAATATGTTTCTCTTATTGGTTAATGAATAAAGCCCAGTTGGCCTATAGGAAAGCAAGATAGGCGGGACTAGGAGACAAGGAGGATTCTGGGAGAGATAGTAGAGAGAAGTCAAGATGTAGGGCATGAGAGAAGAGGTCTGGACCTTCTCTCCGGTAAGAAAAGACCACGTGGAAACACTTAGATTGATAGAAATCAGTTAATATTTAAGACAGAGCTAGCCAATAAGGAGCCACTGGCCAACAGCCTTGTAACTAATAGAGACTCTGTTTTATTTTGGGACTGACACGGCTCCGGGACCAGGCTGGCGGCAAAGTGCTCCTAACATCCTTGCGTCAGAAAAATGTGGAGAGTGTAGAGCTCTCTAGACTCCCATGGGTACACCACAGAGGGCACCTACACTCACATACAGAAATGCGCGCACCCACACACAGGGGCATGGGGGTAGAGTAGACACAGAGTGACACTATGTTACAAGACTGTTAAGAAGCCTTGACCCCTTCACCCCACCCCACCTCCCTTAGGATTTATGTGGCACTTTATGCCCAGTAAAGTTATCATTTCACTTATAAATCGTCATGGCAGCCCAGGTTCCAAAAAACCTGCCATTAGAGAATTGCAGGGAAAGTTACTCATTTTAAGTGCAGTAATCAAAGTATTTAAGAAGTAACATCATGATAGACAGGTGAACAGACAGTGAAAATCTTTAAGTAACTTTGACTAGCGCCAGGCATGGTGAGTGGTTCAGGACTTTAATACCAGCACTCGGGAGGTAGAGGCAGGCAGGTCTCTGAGAGTTCAAGACCAGCATGGTCTACATACAGGGTTCCTGGATAGCCAGGGCTACATAGAGAGACCCTATAAAATAAATAAATAAAAACAAATCTCATACATAGTTGTAGCTGTATTTGGTTATGTACTTTAAAATATGATCATTCGAAAGATGGATTGATAATCCTAAGACTCCTATGCCTGTATAAGACACTGGAATTCAACACTTGTGAAAATAATAGTGTATATGGTAGAGTCCCAATGTCTCACTGTTGGGATGTGCATTCACAGATAGACAAGGGAGGTAGACTAGAAGGATCTTGTGGTAGTAATCTGAGGCTCTTATAGGTCTCAACTGGTTTATAGATATTTAGATACACACATGGTATATACAGAAATGTTAATTGATGTTTGTGCATACACATAGTTAATACACATATACAGAACATTGCTCTCTTGTATTGAAACCTATTCAACATCCCATTACCAAGAAACAAACTTGGATTCCATATCTTAGCTTTTGTTATCATTCTTCAATAAATCGAAATAGGTTTCCTTGAAGAAATGATGGGTTGCAATTGTAGGCAGTTCTGAGCCTGGAATATCTTGAAAACTCAAGGTCTTGTTAAACACATATAGTGTGATTAATAGTAAAGAATTGTTAACCCGCTATCAACTGATGGAGCTCTCAGTGACCAAAACTGGAATATTTTGAATAACAAAATAAGAAAAAAATTGGACTGTTGCCAAATGTATAAAATGCATATCTGTATTAACCAATTGAACTAAATTATACATGGGAGGAGTAGAGAAAGCTAATTTGTGGACGAATCCCACTTATTTCACAATATTATACACACAATCTTCACACAGGTTGAAGGTTTTTGCATCACTTGGTGACTAGTTTCCAATAGAACAGCGGTGACGGGTTTTACAGCTTTACAACAGAAATCCCCGACTGTCTGTCTACTGATCAGAGTCAACATCAACAGCCATATCATTGTGGTGGAATGTAACCTTAGATGCTTTCCTGAAAAGGGCACATCACCTCTGTGGACATTGTTTCCTTAGCCCGTAACTCCAGTCTCATCACAAGAAAGACATCAGCCATCTTGCAATGGTGTGCCATTCTACAAAATACGTGGCTGCTACCCTTCAAGGTCACTGTCCCAGCCTGAACGAATCTTAGGGGATGTAACAATAAACACAATGCGGTGTCTTGGACAGGCGTATGGAAGAGAACTGAAGACAGTAGGAAATCTGTATTTAACCTTTAGTTAATTCATCAGTGTCGGTTATTCACTGTGAGGAAGCTGCTTTATTCCATGTGCTGTGTAGAGAGCATAAGTAGCAGGACATGTGGGGATCTGCTCTAATTCCCCAGCCCACCTATACATCAACACCATGCTAAAACGACACCTATTAAACGCTAAAAGTACTAATGCGGTGATGTAGTTGTAAACACTGTGTTGAGGGATTGATTATCTGTCATTTCTGCTAGTGACAACCTTCCAGTATGGTGGATGTTATAGAGAGTTCCGTTCACATTTACACTTAAAGGATATATGTGAGGCTAACATAAGCTAGGTATTAATGAAGTTAAGATGTATTTCTCAACCTTATTCTGCAATTATACGGTATGCGTATAGCTCCATGTTGCAAGCGAAGAAGAGTTCAGCATTCTGCATTAGGGTGGAGGGCTTAATCTCAGAAAAACGAGTAACAGGGATGGACTAAGCTGTCCCAGATTTCAAGTGCGCACACTCCACACCCCAAATTCTGAGTTATTCATACCATTTTGCTTTGCTTTGTATCTCTGTTGGCTACACTGCCTTCTCTGCTCTGGAGCTGGTAGAGGAGGAGTAGGAGGTTTTCATTTAGTATCTTCCCTGACCTTATGCAATTTTCAGTGCAAGATGCTGGGCAGCTCCCCTGGGTAATACCAACAAGATGTCAGAATGCTCACAGGGAAGCCAAGATAAGTCCAAGTGAGGAACCTCCACCCTGTGGAATGCTGGTGATAAGGAAAATCCCTGCTTGCAAATGACTTGGTTGGGAAAGAAACCTTGGCCAAGCAGCAAAGATTGAAAATCCTCAGCTGCCTTTCCTCCTTAACACTACCAAGCCCCTCGCTTGTTTGTTTGGTCACTAACTTGGAAAGAAACAAAAGCTGGAGCATGGAGGGAAGGAGATAACAACCTTCATAGTTGGTGCCAAATAACGAAGCAAGGACGAGAAGCTTGTGTGCACTGACGTTTAATTTATTCGCCCTAGGGAAATTCTGAGAAATCCGTGGGGGAGTTACAGCCATCTCTAGATGTGAATTCTGCCTTCTGGTTTTCATACATTATAGCTTTCACCCAGGAAGTCTCCCCCAAAGGCGTAGACTGGTGAGTAGGAAGAGTAGAGGGCGAAAGAAGGTTGCTGGGAGGCAAGCCTTGTCCACTAGCGAACAGCACTAAAATCCCGGGATGACCCTTCTCTGTGTCCTTGAGTGATTTCTCTGTTCTCAGCCTCTTCGCTGATTTGGGAAAACCTCATCCTATCACAATAGCAAGAAAATGGGAGGTCTAAAGCGTTCAGCTTTCATAAGTGTTTGATAATGTGAGTGTGTGTGTGTGTTAAAAAGCAAGTGGATCGTGCTGGGCGGGATTTAAAAAGACCGATTGCCCACTTAAATTTTATTTTTCAGAGTATTTGACTGTTTATCTCAATAGACGATCAGCCCTCAAATTCAGCGAAATGAACAGTGCGGATGAGGAAGATGGAGAGGGTGGGAACCCCCACAGTCAGATGGAGCTGTCCAAACTGCGCCAGCGGCAGGGGGAGCTCAGAGAGCAAGGACTCTCCGCAGAGAAAGTCTGTCTGCCCCTTCTCTCTTGTCGCACAATTCGGCGGTGCCGCGGGCGTGAAGCCGTTCGCAGAAGGGCAGCCTTCACGCCGGGGGCGCAGCGTGTGTCGGGCGCAGCGGGCAGACGCGGTGAGAGCCGAGCGTCTCCCCCCGCGGCTCGCGCCGAGTGCGCCGCTCCGGCGGGGGATGACTTCATGCGGCCCGCCTGGAGTAGCCAGCGGCGGCTGCAGCTGCAGGCGGGGCGCGGGCCGTGCGAGCTCAGAGATCCCGGCACGCGCGGCCAGCCGGCGGGACTGCAGCCCCGGGCAGCCGGGACGCGCCTCTGCACCCCGAAGGTAAGCTGCTGGCCGGTGCTAGCCGCCCTGAGCCCGGCTTCCCGCCTGATCCGTGACCGGCTTTGTAGCACCCGGGAAAGGAGGAGGACCCTGGTGCATTCTGCAGTGGGCGAAGGAGCAGGGGAGTGAAAGGTTGACCAGCCTTGCCTTGGAGACGGGAGGAGGGATGTTCCCGGGCAAACAAAGGGGCTTTCACCCTCCAGCTCTTAAAGGTCATCAACCATTCATTTCCGTGGCGTGTTGGTTTAGACACACACTGAGGATGATTCGAACCGCTAAGCATTCCGAGTGCCCGTTTTACCTTTGTGTCTTACCCCCCTCCAGTGCGATCGTTCCCTGGCTTGGGAGCGTCTCGTCCTTGGGAGCAGTCGGGGGAGTCATCAGCAATCTTACCTCTCTCTGTGTGTGCCCTCTTTGGTTCTCTGGTGCCGGGGTGTTTCCCCAAGCATCTCAATGTCTTAACACCTGCTAGCTTCAACGCTGTGCCTTTGGGATTCCCTCCGGGCGGAGGGAAAACTTCGTTCCCCTCCTGAGTTCTGCTCGGTGTGGACCGCACTTGTCAGTCAGTTCACTGGTTTTCCAGAGGTGCTGTATCTACCCCGGGTCAACCCATCATACCTTATCCTCCTTCAGTTCCCTGACTGAAGGACCCAAAAGGGGCATTGCCTCGCTCGGGGTTCCTTATTGGATAATCCCTTAACATAGCATCACCCGTGTACTTCCCCAGACACATGGGATAAAATGTCCTGCTTTCAGCCCAGGAGCAACGTGGTTTTCTCTAACTGCCTTCCTTGCCTGCTTGCAGTCACTCTGGTTGGCTGTCACAAAGGCTTGGCTGGTGAAACAGACTGTTTTGGGCTAAGCAGGCACTTCTCTCTGAAACAGACATGGGTACGGGAAAATCGGGCACAGCGGTTTAGCCGGTCCCCTTGATAAACTTCTACCTCGCTGGGGTTTAAGAAAATTAGCTACCAGAGTTCAGGACAACCATTCAAAGAAGAAAAAAAAAGTGCTTGCTTGCCTTGGCATTCCGCAATAAGCTCCAACTGGGGCTTTCCCGTTGGCAGACAGAAAGCCAGGCTTGGATTATTTGGTCATCTCAAATTCGCCTCCTTGCCTAGAGGTCCCTCCCATTCTGAACCTCCGCTGCGCCCCCCCCCCCCATCCCCAGCTGAAGTCCTTGTTGCTACCAGGTGACGTGCATCTGAATGTGGTGTGAGGCAGTTAAGATGGCTGTTGGGGGTACCGCAAATGTGTGCCTCACCACCAGAGCAGTCACAGTAAGCCAGATTGTGGGGAGTCCGGGAGCCAACATTCCATTTAATCTAAAAGATTGACACGTGAAATTGGAAAGACAGTTTGACTCAACATCCATGCCGTTTCATTCGGTTAAAAAAAGAAAGAAAAGGTAAAGGGACAGAATTCAACCTAAAATGACACATCTGCCCGTTTTCCCTTCCCATTGTCCACGGTTCTCCGAAGTCAGGCTAATTCTAGTGTGTACTGGTATTACTTTTCTAATTACAAATCATCTTTTGAGAGATTCTCTCTAGGAGATTTGAATTTTGTTCCTTTGTCTCCACCTTCAGTATCTGGGTAGAGGAAGCAGATGCCCACCACAAAATGGCCCACTCCACAAACTGTCGGGGAAGGGGGGGGGGTCAGGAACTGAAGGCTATTTCTGTTTATCGTTGTTATTGTGTTTTGAACAGGGTTTGTATTTCAGGCATTAAACACTCCAGATTCTAGAATCTTACTAGAATTTCTAGCAAAGGAAACAAAGAGTAAGATGGGGGCAGGGGGAGTAATTCCTCTCTTCCATGACCTTTCCTAATTTAAAAATACTTAATCTGTGTGTGTGTGTGTGTGTGTGTGTGTGTGTGTGTGTGAGAGAGAGAGAGAGAGAGAGAGAGAGAGAGAGAGAGAGAGATAGCTAATGATAAACATAGATAATTCTCTAAAAACTTAGCTTGTGTATTCTAAATCATAGTCCAATTATATAATGATCACTTGATCCTACAGGAACAAAAACAGTTTCTATAATGTTAAGAGCTGCACGTTTTGGTTAAGAGAGATGCTTGAGAACACCCCACTGGTGGTTAAAAATTCTAAGTTCTGAGTTTCCCCTTCACTTGTATTTAGCCCAGAAGTATGTTTCTTATGCTCCTTTGAGGGTGGGGGCTGTGTGTTGTCTGTTTGCATGTTCTCTAGTGAGTGGCTAATTCCAAGAACACAGATGTTAACCTTGTGTGTTGAGATAAAGCATCCCTATTTAGTTTTTCTCTTTTGTCCATTCCCTATGCCTCATACCATGTTGTCCTGAAGCGGCGAATTCTACCACTTAATGCCTCCGTTTATCTTTTCCCTGGCAGCGACCACACACTGATTCTATTTCATGAATCAAATGAACAAATATAAATAAGTAAATAAATACCTCTACTGGGGGCTAAGGCTCTGCTACTTGGTTTCTGAGGAAAGTGAATTATCTGGCAAGACATCAGCTCAGGATCCAGGGGCTGGTGCTTGGTGAGCTGGTGAGATGCCTGCCAATGTTTTCACAGGAGACCAATCCACTGGGTGAAGGGCTAGAGTTAAAGGCACCCTGTAGGGAAGAAAGCGACTTAAAGATGTGATTTTCATTGTGGTACAAATGACAACAGGACACATAAGGAACTCCACATATGAACCTTGTATGTTTAAGCAATTTTGAGGAATATTTATAAATATAGAGCTCTAACTAGGAACACACACACTCACATCCACACAGGGCCATGTTCACACAAACACACACAGTCACACACACACATCAATGGTAAATGGTACTGTGACTAGGATTGATTTATCATTATTTCCTTTCCTTTCAAGTTTCTGGGGAGTAACACGCACTCACATGCACAGCACACAGGCACACATACACATGAACAACACACACACGTATATGGTGCTGTGACTGGGATTGATTTATCGCTATTTCCTTTACTTTGCAAGTTTCCGGGGAAATACAGGGAATTAATTAACTGGTGTTCAGACCTGAAGGAGGAATAGATAATAGAACACCTCATGGAATTAGGCAATAAATGAGCTCCGGTTGCTCCTGAGTATTTGACAAGACAGAATTGATGTCAATCTGTTGCTTTCCAACCACACGGACACTGTTTGGCAGACAGTATTATCAGAACCTTAGCAGGGGCAAATTGGGAGGTTGACTTCTTATGACAGGAGAGTATGTTGTGGTATTGTTATATTACTGCCAGTAGCTATACTTAAAATGGCCCTAGGTTGAAATAATGAAAGATGGGAAAGAACGACAGAGAAAGAAATGTCGTTTGTGTTTATTCACTGCCTCCTCTGAGAATGTGTAGGGAAAATGGTGTTCTATTGCAATTCTGGGCTAAAATATGAGACCCTGTCTCATAAGCAAACACACACAAAAGCTACTTTGAATATTACTGGTGGTGTCTTAATAGACAGAGTTCTGCAATACACCATTCTTTTCATTATTCATGATAAGTAATACTTCCCGTGCAGAGTGATAGCTCTTCATCCAGCTCACTAACCATCTCAAAGTAGCCCACGCCCAGCCAAACACTAATTCATTCCTGTATATGCTTCCTTATAGCAGGCCTGGTCTTGAAATGTGTGCACAGCTGCCGCTGACCCTCCGCAAAGCTTTTCTCTGGTGAGATGAGCTTTCTTCTTGTCTAAATCCCTATACATTTCTATGTCTTACACCCACCTTTCATGTGAACAGGCACACATTCCAAACAAAGTCCAGGACTAAAATCAGAGTATTACCTGCAACTAATTTTACAGTGCCCAGCCATGTATATCCAGGGAAAATGTTCATGAGTCATACTCACAATACTGCTGATAAAATGTGTAGACGAACATGGCCAGAAGTTGACTGTTATAATCATCCACTTTGAGACACAAATCATCTATCATCAGAAAAATTTATGTCTCCTTCGCTTGTTATTCATTCTTAATACTGCCGTCTGCAGTAATTTATTTGTCATTGTCAAGCAAAGGAAGCAATGATAAATTATATTCATCTACCAAACAGTCTAAGGAGATACAATCACCCAGAATAAATAGAAGCGCATTAAAATTCCAATCTGGACCCTAAGGAAGTGGAAAGAGCTGGTACAGCTGCTGTTGAATCAAACAGGTGCGGTTAAAAAAAAAAAAAAACAAAAAAAAGTCAAGAAGAAGAAGAAGAAATTAAAGACTCAAGAAGACACCCTCAACTGTCATTTTCTTTACAGTCCCTCTAAGTCTTTTGGTTTCTAGCGGAAATATGATCATTACATAAGCACAAAAACTTAGTGTAATTTCAAAAAAGAAAGAAAGAAAGAAACAAGGTTTAATAGCCACACTCATGAGATAAATTAAAATTTTATAGTATACTTTATAACTTTTAAAAACGTGACAGTGTATACCACATATAGGAAGCGAGAGTATATATATTGTGTGCAAGTTTTATGTATCTTAAAATTGCTATCCCAGCACTCGGGAGGCAGAGGCAGGTGGATCTCTGTGTGTGTGTGTGGGGGGGGGGGAAATGCTATAGTAATTTAATTATATAAAACTTAAAAATTATATAACACATTAATTTACCATTTTTAACTCATTTAATTACATGCATTCACAATATTCTACAAACAACATGCTATTTTATCACCCCCAACAAACTGGTCATCAAATCGTAATCCACCATTCTCTACCCAAAAGGCCCCAGGACACTCTGTATTTGTGCCTACAAAATTTTCTATTTTGTATCACTAGTTGTATTATGGCTGACTTTTCCCATTTAGCACAGTGGATTTCATTCCAATTTAAAGCTATTTTATTCTAGACAAATACTAGATTTTGTAATTTTTAGTAATATCCGTTTTCTATGTATGTGCCATAATTTATTCAGCCAGAAGTAGTTGTTAAGTATGTATTAAGTTCAAAATTGCCTTGTGATTTCAAGCCATGGTTATGTTCTTGTGAACATA